CCAAAAATACACTCAAATTACAAGAGCGTACCAAAAATACAGTCGAAGAGCGTACTAAAAATATGTTCGAATTATAAAGGCGTACCAAAAATATAGTCGAAATATAAAAGCGTGCCAAAAATACACTCGAAATACAAGAGCGTACCAAAAATACAGTCGAATTATAATAGTGTACCAAAAAATACAATAGAATTATAATAGCATACCAAAAAAATACAGTCGAATTATAATAGTGTACCAAAAATACAGTCTAATTATAATAGCGTACCAAAAATACAGTCGAAATATAAAAGCGTGCCAAAAATACACTCGAATTACAAGAGCGTACCAAAAATACAGTCGAATTATAATAGTGTACCAAAAAATACAATAGAATTATAAAAGCATACCAAAAAAATACAGTCTAATTATAATAGCGTACCAAAAAATACACTCGAAATATAAGTGCGTACCACAATATATAAATATATTATAATAGCATGCCAGGAATGAAACAAACCATTTCCCGGCTCTGTTATCTTATTGTCCTTGCCATACAAGAAAGTTACTATCTTCATTTAGTTACCCGCGGCCCGCAAGGTCGAAGCCGCCATCGATCAGATGGTGTAAATTGCGGCTATCTAATCAACTGGAGAACCATTCACAAGCCAAGTTTATTGTTTGCTACTTGTAACTTACTTGAAAAGAGTAACTATTGAGTTTCTTGCAGGATCATCTCAGCAGTTAGCAGTATCATTTAAAGTTAAATTTCTTTTCCGTTCCTCTCAACTGAAATTGCATTTTTTTTATACAACTTAGAATGGCGAACAAGCTGTTGGTCCACCTGATGGAAAGTGGTAATCGTTGCCTTTAGACATGAGCAGTACTATCGACATAATAAAGTACATACTCTGTCGTCGATAATACCCCCCATGCGTTGCCATTCTTGAGGACTCAGATGTTATTCCTCTGTACCCAGTAAATTCACGCCATATCCCACCCTTCAAACTGAAAGATAGGCCATGCAAACAACTGCGTCATGGTTGAAACACGAATGGTACAGAGGTACCCAAGCAAATGACTTTTCTACAAAGTCTCCCAAAATTAGTGCTAAAGTGCATTTCGAATGGACTTTTTTTTATACAACTTAGAATGGCAAACAAGCTGACGGCCCACCTGATGGAAAGTGGTAACCGTCGCCTATAGACATGAGCAGTACTATCGACATAACAGAGTATACTGTTTCGCCCATGATACCCCCCCCCATGCGTTACCATTCCTGAGGACTCAGGTATTATTCCTCTGTACCCACTAAATTCACGCCATATCCCACCCTTCAAACCGAAACACAGCCATGCAAACACAACTGCTTCACGGTTGAAACACGAATGGGACGAAAGAATTATAATAATTACTATTAAAAAATGCTTCTAATTAAGTTTTCTTGAATATGAAATATTAGATAGATAAATAGATAAATTATTTATTCACCATCAGAAGCACATAATTCATGAATTTATAAACGTAACAAAAATTTTTTTGAGGGTTTTATGAGCCTCGACGGTGAAAAAGCAATCAATTCAGTATTAAGCCGCGGTGTACTCGAAGCGCTGATTTTCTGCTGCCACCTTATAAAAAGTATGAAAATTAACTTCGAACTCTTAATAATTTTCCCGTTTTCTAAGCTCTTACGTAATCTTGCGTAAAATTAAAAATGTGTGAAGTATAGTTATATTATATATTATATAATAAATTAGAATGAAGCGGTTTCAAACAAAGTATAATATGAATGAATGAATGAATGAGTATACTTTATTTCCATTATACAATATAGGAAATAAACAAGACAATTTACAAACATAACGATACAATATTATATAAGTATAAGTACAGTAAGGCGGTCTTATTGCTGAGAGCAATCTTTTCAAGACAACCTTAAGGTAATGGACTAATTGTTGTACAAGTAGGTATAATAGTGCTTTATAATTAAAAAAGCATCTTTATGTATAGTAAGAAGAATAAGTGTTCTTATTCTTCTTCATTTAAAAAAAAAAGAGATTTTACCAGAGGGAGAATATACGAATATACGAATCCTTCCTAATATTAAAAATAAGAAAGTATATTCGTTTTAAATATTATCAGGAGAGAACGCGATGTAATTGTAGGTATATAATACATATTTGATTTTGACGTATAAACATGGACTGCACTACGTCGTGGTCACGACACGACTGAAGTGAACAGCGTCTTCTTATGGCATCCCGCGCAGTTTTTTCAGTTACCCTCACATTGTTATTATTATCTAAGTCTATCATACACACCGCACTGTTCGTTTGTTTATTACCATTTGTCGTGGACCATATATACGTACTATTATGAATAGATGAATAAAACAAGACGTAAACTACTATTTATCCCAACCAATCAAAATATCCCGCTTATGCAAACGAAATCGCGGGTAAAAAGTAGTATAATAATGGTAATCGATATTAAACCGCTCAATTAGTGGTTCGCCTTTACGTAAACTGTTTAAATATTAATATGTTAGTTCTCTTGTAATCTCGAGTCATAATATTAAATATTGGGGTAGAAGCGACATTCCTGTGAATTCAATAATACAAATTATTTTCACGTATTGTTGATTTAAATCTATTTTTTTACTGTATTCTATATGGCAATGGACTGGTCATGTAGCTCGAAATACCGAAAACCGATGGGGAAAAAAGGTTCTTGAGTGGCGAGTGTAGGACGACCCCCGCCCCCCTCACTAGATGAAGTGACGACCTTAAGTACACTGTAGGAAGTCAGTGGATATGGGAGGCTCAGGATCGTTCTTTATGGCAATCTATGGGGGAGGCCTATGTTCAGGTATCTAGGTCACTTCCACGTAAGTCATGTTATCTGCATTATATCGTAAAATTATTTGTTAAATCCAAAAAATGTATTTGTGACAATACACAACATAGGTTGTAATGCGGGATTTGACTGGAAGAAGGTACATTTTGGCAGCATTGCCACGTTCTTAGAGGATCATGTTATACTAGGTATATCTTTTAGTCGATTGTAATCTCGAATAGTCTATAATAATTATCTTCAAGAAATGAGCCACTAAAAGGAAAAAATAATTTTTCAAATCCGGCTGATAGTTCCAGAGATTAATGCTTTTAAACAAACTCTTCCGTTTTATATCCTTAATAATGTTACAAGTGTGAAAGTGAGTTTGTTTCTTTCTTGCCTCATAACGCCTTAACATTTGCTGTGTGGTCCCAGTATAGAATAGGCCACCCCTTCCTTTCCCGTGGGTGTCGTAAGAGACGACTAAGGGAGGCTGAGGGCAGCAGCATCCTTCTAAAAACATCTCCAAACGCATGGGGGGTATCATGGGCGAAACAGTATACTCTGTTATGACCATGGTACTGCTCATGTCTATTGGCGACGGTTACCACTTTCCATCGGGTGGGCCGTCAGCTTGTTTGCCATTTTAAGTTATATAAAAAAAATCTCCAAAACCTAACTGCGGTTGCCAATCCGCCTGCGAAGCGTGGCAACTACTGGCAAAACCCCCTAAGGAGAGGATTATGTCCAGCAATGGATAGTTAAAGGCTGATATGATGAACGCTTTAACAATTTTACCAATCACTATGAAAATTGGTATACACATACTAAACTGGAGAAGGATATAGGCTTTATCGCAGTCAATAAACATACCCGGTTACGCGAACGAAGTCACAGGTAAGAGCTAGTGTCAGCATAGATGAGTGTCACTTCCACCCAGTTCCTTTATTTCTATGTCCCAGTCAAGGTTAAGGCACGTGTTCTCTTGTAATCTCTGTCAAAGTCTCAAGGTCAGGCCACGTCCATCGTTCGCTGTGTAAATCACGTAGATCTAATCAACTGGACAGTTGAACGATGGAGCGGGTTTACACATTCATTATTCAATACTAACAGCACACCATAGCTTCGGCGATGGTTTCATGGGTTTATTGAAATTAAACAAAACTGAATATCGATTGGCCACATTTATACTAATATTATATACTTGGCTAGCCTCCAAATAAATAAGATTATATATATATATATATATATATATATATATATATATATATATATATATATATTGGCTGGGCAGCGTAGGGAAAACTATGTCACATCTTCCCATCCAAAATATCTCAAAATTTAAAGACGAACGTCTTTAACCAGTGCGTCTGGCAACACCTATCCTGAAGCAGTTGTGATTGCATGGCTGTGTTTCGGTTTGAAGGGTGGGATATAGCAGTGAATTTACAGAGTTCAGAGAAATAACATCTGAATCCAGGGGGAAGGGATTGTTAGTAATGGGAAGTTAGTCCCCATTGCTATCAATGTACCCTATCAGGTTGACTCCCACGCGGTTCCCCCTGGAAACTATCGTGACTAATTTATCGTCGAATTCGTCATGATGGACTAACTGACCTGCCTTTTCATCCTATCCACCCTTATCACCCCACGCCAGTGTATATCGATAGCGTAAGCGCGATTACCATGTCGTTTTCACCCATTAAAAATAAACACTTGCGTTCTCAGGAATGGCAACGCATGGAGGTATCATGGGCGAAACAGTATACTCTGTTATGTCCATGGTACTGCTCATGTCTATAGGCGACGGTTACCACTTTACTTCAGGTGAGCCGTTAGCTTGTTTGCCATTCTAAGTTGCATTTTTTAATTGTAAGAATCGTAACTTTTTCAGTAGGAACGAATTTAAATTATATTTAGTATACAAGTAGGTTATTATATCCTAAAGTTTTATCTAATATAATTTAACTCATTATTAAATTATGTACTCACTTATTCACGCGGTCGAAACCGCGGGATATAGCTATCCAACTATATGCTTTAACATTTGAACAAAAACATAATGAATCAATCAACCTTTTTCGTGACCCAATTCCTGTGACTCTGATTGATACATTGTGCGTGACGGCATTCTTTTAAATTTTTTAGTAACTTTTATAATTAACTCCTTTTTTTTATTGTTGCAGATTACGTTATAGGAAAACAACGAGTGCCACCATATACCAAGTGTTCTTTACTAAAATTTTAAGACTAGGTAAGTGTTATGTTCTTTTTTCTACCAATTTCCACGCACAATAGAATATTTTGTTATTAATAAATAAAAACAAATGTTTAATTTTAATTTTGTTGCGGGTGATCATGGGCGGCGGTATTCATTTACCGTCAGGTGAGCCGCATGCTAGTTTGCTCCTAGTGTTGTAAAAAAATAATTTTTTTTTATACCACTGAGGTGGCAAACAAACACGGCCCACCTGATGGTAAGCGGTTACCGTAGCCTACAAACGCCTGCAATACCAGAGGTATTACGCGCGCATTGCCAACCCTGAAGAAACCTCTTTACCCCCCTTTTGAAGAACCCCATGCTGGGGAACACTCAGATTATGGAATGAGCTCCCTGCCGAGGATTTCCCAAGAGACAGTTTTTAAAAAGAATAAAATAAATATAACTACTTTATTTCTCTATCCGATATTTCACTAAAGCGACCGCCCGTGAAATAAATGCCTTTACTATGAAGATAAGAGACTACATGTGTGTAAAATAATAAAGAAGCTACGCATCAAACGGGCCACGGGATAAATCATTCCAACCACGAACCACGAAGGAAAACATATCGTATACCGAATTGAATAAAGTCCAATATGCTATAGACGATATTTGTGGCCAATATTTTGGTTTTATAGTGAGGCCTAAGTTGAAAACACAAATATTATGGCTGCCTATAAACATTGATAAATTTCCCTGCAGTCTCGTTTCTATTTGTGATATGATCCAATTTTATCTTTTTATATGTAAATCAAGCGGCTGATCCAAACCTATATCTGGGATATAGCTTTGTATATATGTAAGACGTGGACATTAACTCAGAAGGAAATGGATAAACTTAGAGCCTTTCAAATGTGGTGATGGAGAAGGATGGAGAAAATTAGCTGGAGGGATCAAATTAGCAATGAGGAGGTCCTGCTTAGGGTTAAGGAAAAAAGACAAATTATTAGAACTATTGAGGACAGAAGGGGAAAAATGTTGGGACACTTGATACGACACGACGAACTTATGAACATTATAATAGAAGGTAAGATAGAAGGAAGGAGGGGAAGAGGGAGACCGAGACATAGTTACATCAGGCAGATCGAGGAAGGAGTTGGTGTCGTGTCGTATCAAGAGGTGAAGGGAGTCGCTGAAAATCGTAGTGAGTGGCAAGAGCTCCACCGACAAGAGCGCAGCTCTTAAATAGGATAGATAGATAGATTTAAATAAAAGTATGCCTAAAATTAGGTGTAATTCTTGTGAACTAACTTCAATAAGAAGAAAGTTCTCGATTTAGTTGTGTTTTTTTACGTTTGTAACCCCATAACTCCGTTAGTTGTAAACCGATTTGGAAAATTTCTTTTTCTCTGAAAATCTGAAAGCATATATTTTCAGATTGGTACCATAGAAATTTTATCAAAATCGATTTAGTTGTTTAGTTTTTAAATTGAAATAACTTGTTTTGCCATAATCGAAGTTGGTTTTTTTGTGTATTACAATACAATTATTATGACACTAGTATTCCAGCCTGATTTCGCTCGGGTAGATGGAATTTACCCGAGACATTTAAAAAAAATCTTTTCATATGTCATTAAGGCTTAGTTTTATACTTTTGTTTTTTAATTCTGCATGCCTAATAATGGCGAAATATGTGGACTTATACATATTTCTAATATCTATATAATGATCATATTTCTTGCAAATAAATATTCATTTAATTATTTAAGGTATTAAAAAAAAAACATTTTTTTTATGCAACTTAAAATGGCAAACAAACTGACGGCCCATCTCATGGAAAGGGGTAACCGTCGCCTATAAACATAAGCAGTACCATTGACATAACAGAGTATACTGCTTCGCTCATAATACTCCGCATACGTTGCCATTCCTGAGGACTAAGTTATGCCTTTACCCTGTAAATTCACTGCCATATTCCACCCTTCAAACCGAAACACAGCTATACAAATAATTGCTTCACGGTAGAAACACGAATGGGACAGAGGTGCCCAAGCAAATTCCTTTCGTACAAAGTCTCTCTCTGATAGAAATCCCTACTAAAATTATAATAATGTAACCAAAAAATTTGTCTGTTAATGTTAATATATATTTATCTTTCCAACTCATCTACTCATGTGTATTGTCATTGTGTCTCTACTACAGTGATTCTCAACCACTGTGCCGCGGCACTTTTGTGCGCCGCCAAATTTTTTTTTTTTTACTACACAGAGGGCAAACGAGCATGCGGCTCACCTGATGGTAAGTGACTACCGCCGCCCATGATCACCCACAACACCAGCGGCATTGCAAATGTGCTGCCGGCCTTTTAAAAAGGAATATACTCTTTTCTTGAAGATTATGTTGTCGTATCGGTTCGGAAATACTGCTGCTGGAAGTTGATTCCAAAGAATGGTTGTGCGTGGAAGAAAGTGCCTTGAAAAACGCACGGTGGAAGACCGCCACTCGTCCAGATGATTGGGATGAAACTTTAGTTTGTGGCGGGTTGTACGGTGGTGAAAATCAGCAGCAGGTATCAATCCGAACAATTCCTCAGAACACTCCCCATGATAAATTCGGTAGAAGATGCACAGAGATGCAACATCTCTGCGCAGTTTCAGTGGATCAAGTCGGACAGTAAGGCGTTGACTATCGATAATTCGAGCCGCCCGACTCTGAATGCGGTCTAACGGAAGGAGTTGGTACTGTGGCGCTCCTGCCCACAGGTGAGAACAGTATTCCATATGCGGCCTGACTTGGGCTTTATATAATTTCAGGCGGTGTTTTGGCATGAAATATCGTCTCACCCTATTGAGCACTCCTAACTTTTTGGAAGCTATCTTAGCCTTCTCCTCCAGATGACTGCAAAACTGGACGTCGTAAGATATATCAACGCCCAGAATTCCTAGACTCGACTTTTTATCAAGGGAAGTGCCCCGAAAGTGAGGAGATACGACAAACGGTTTATGCAGTGTGTTGTAGTAAACAAATATTTTTTATCTTTTTCTTTGTGTGCCGCCAAATTTTGAAATCGTTAAATATGTGCCGCAATAAAAAAAAAAGTTGAGAATCACTGCTCTAGTATTATTGTACTAGAATATATGTATATAAAATTCTTATATTAGATTCCGCTGTGAAATATCTCGCGTGATATATTATTAAAAGGACTTTGCGAAACCTTTCACAACCTGAAAGGTTAAAATGGCGGCGTAATGTATTAAAAGGTGTATTGATTGCGAGGAAAAAAGACTTGCTCCACTAGACAACAAAAAAAAATGAGAGAAATCTAACGATAGGTATACTTTCGCTACCTCATGCACTGGATAGAACTAGACAGCAATATCCAGTGTCTTGTATTTTCATAAATGTGGTCGGTATGTGAGCATGATAATTAATTATTTATTTTTAACACCTAAGTTCGGAAGTATCAAGCTAAGGTTTTCTACATCTGATTATACCTATAAAACTATTTTTATTTTTATACATCTTATAATGGCAGACAAGCTGACGGCCCACCTGATGGGAAGTGGTAACCGTCGCCTATAGACATGAGCAGTACCATGGACATAACAGAGTATACTGTTTCGCCCATGATACCCCCATGCGTTGCCATTCCTGAGGACTCAGGTGTTATTCCTCTGTACCCAGTAAATTCACGCCATATCCCACCCTTTAAACCGAAACACAGAAATACAAACAACTGTTTTACGCTAAAACAAAAAAAAAATACTTTTTTTTGTGTTTGTTACCTCATAACTCCAATAGTTCTAGACTGATTTGGAAAAGCTTTTTTATCTGAAAGGACATACTTATAAACTAGTCCTGTACAAATTTTATTAATCGGTTTAATTGGTGGTTTAATTTTTAGACCTATAAATAACTGATTTTGTCACTTTGAAGTCTTTTGTTTTTTGAATAAAATCTTTATTTATAATACAATAAGATTGATTTCAATTACTACATAAGCATATTAAAAATAATACAATATAATATAGAATGTAAACTATCAAAAACATTGTTTTAATTAATTTATAAAATTTAATTAAAGCTTAATTAATTTAAGGCCACTTGATCCTAGGATAAATTTTACAATAACATTTTACAATGAAACTATTTAATAATTAACAATGTAATAACTATGCAAGATTAATACCACTTTGCAATGTAAAATGAAATTCACTATTTTCATAGTAAAATCCATTTTCATATTTCATCATTGGTACCGTACTATCCATTCGCTGTAAAGTGCTTTTACTTTGGGACACGAAATTTTCATAAAGTTTCCAAACAAAATGAGAGCAGTTTAAACTTGAATTAAACTTAGATTATTTGAGTATATAAGTACACTTTCCCAACTTACAGAGATAGAGAGTTTAGTAACGAGTTTTAGTGCTAAATTTTTTAACAATTCGATTATTAATTTTAAATTTTCGCATTGTTTACACATATATTAACCTTTTTTCATCGCGTTAAGTCCCAATTGTGTATTTAAAATAAGTTAGAATATTAAGTTTACTATAAAATAACATAATGAATAAATGAATATACTTTATTTGCATTATACTCGTACAATATAGGAAATAAACAAGACAATTTACAAACACAACGATACAATTGTATAAGTACAGTAAGGCGGTCTTATTGCTGAGAGCAATCTCTTCAAGACAAACTTAGGGTAATGGACTAATTGTTGTACAAGCAGGTATTGTATAATTAAGAAAATTAATTTAAATTAATGTCCATAGTATTTTGTAGTTTTGTAACCGCTATATTCTCATCACTGTACGATTAGAAACAAATTAAATTTTCCAACAACATTATCGAGATGAATGGCGGTCCACTGCTATACGTTTTACACGTCACTTCCTGTCTCGTAGTGTAAAAATGTAAAACAAATTACTAACAACGGTATTTCCCAATAAATGCGACATGGGGACCTTCGAAAAGAGAACTGAAACCTTTTTAAAAGGCCGACTACACATTGCCTCTGGTGTCGTTAGTGTCCATGGACCACG